ACCAATGGGCCCGAGGCAACTCATAGTTTCTTATAAAATAAAGTAGGTCACTCACATCAATCATGTCGTCTTAGCACATTTTTTCCAAATTAGGAATTCTCCATCCATCATCCCACGGTATGGCATCCCTTTTCCAAACATTTCCTTTTAATATGCTCTTTAACATGATAAGCAAATCTAATAGAATACATTAGTGTCACTTGCCGTTGATGGAGTGTTTCCTCCTGTCGCAGTCCTTCACGAGTTCTGGAAAACGTTTTCCCTCGCTCTCCCCGACAGCCATCACTTGTTGAAAATATGACAATGGTCCCAAAACTCATCAAGGCCGCATTTGGGATGACAGCCTTAGAAAGCTCTCCGGGGGTTCCACCTCACCTCCCCATGTGTTATATGTGTAGAAATTCAAAAGACACATGTGTCTCTAAACAAAATAGTGAGTCCGGATTCTGTACATGAGAGGAGTGTTTAAATTTAGCCCATCGGCTCAGTGATGTTGCACATGAATGCACACAATCCTGTGTAGATCAAAAGCCTGCCCTGGGATACATGTTCAAGCCACATTGCCTGCAGAACACTTCCGAGTCTCCCAGATCATGCAGAAAGGGGGCATTCTCAGCTTCACACGTGTGCAATACCCCAGAACTGGTTACCATCATTTGCGTGTGACTTTGGACCTCATGTGAGAAGCATGCTCTGATTATGACCTTGAAAGACAAACATTAATGCATGCTCATCTATGACATTTACCTGGCAAAAATAGGGTATTTGTTTCCACTCAGATCTCTCCAACTCATGCATTCAGTGTTAGCACTTGAATTTTTGGAGGAATTTTTTGTTGCTGTTTGGACTGAATTTTGAAATAAAACATTCAGGCAAGTTGGGAAGGGAAGATGTTTGTAGAATGCCCAAGAATTCAACTGTCTTGAGCTTTTACTCACCAAACAGGGAAGCATCTGACTGAAATGGGGAAAAGGCTGTTTTCTGGATGCTTAGATTGGTGGGGTCCTACAGACACTGGTTTAGAATGCCTTCTCTGTCGGTAAAGTGCTTGCCTTCTATGCACAGGGACCTGAATTTAATCCCCAGGACCGTGTAAAAAAGCCAGACACAGTAGTGCATACCTGTAATCCCAGAGTTGGGAAGACAGAGACTGGTAGATCCTTGGGGCTTTCTGGCCAGCCTAGCCTACTTTGCAAGTTATGGGTCAGTGGGAGACCCTATCTCATAACACAAGATGGGACCAGTGAAATGGCTCAGTGGATAAAGGTGCTTGCTGCCTGCTGCCAAGGCTGATGACCTGAGTTCAATCCCTAGAACTCACAAGGTGGAAGGAGAGAGCCCACTCCTGCCAGTTGTCCTGTAACCTCCACACATCACATGCATTGCATGCTCATGTGTACACACACACATACACACACACACACACACACACACACACACTGCCCAAATAAATAAATGTAAATTTAAAAAAAAAGATTTCCTGGTCACATGCTTTTAATACCAGCACTCAGGAGGCAGTGACAGGCAGATCTTTGTAAGATTGAGGCTTCCCTGGCCTACATAGTGAGTTCTGGGCCAGTAGGGGCTACAGGGAGACCCTGTCTCAAAAAGACAGAACAAAAACAAAACAAAACAACAACAAAAAAAACCCCAAACCAAAACAAAAAATACTTGCTGCTCTTGCAGAGGCCCTAGATTCAGTTCCCAGTACTCACATAGGGCAGCTCACAACTACTTTTAACTCCAATTCCAGGAAGTTTAACTCCTTCTTCTGGCCTCCACAGGCACCTGCATGCACATATGCACACACATGCATACACACACACACGCACACACACACACATACACACACACACAAACACGCACGCCCACACATACATGGACACACACGTGAATAGAAAAAAAAAATAGGGGCTGGAGAGTGTTTAAGAGTACTGGCTGCTCTTGCAGAGGACCTAGGTTTGATTCTCAGCACCCACATGGCGGCTAACAACCAACCATCTGTAACTCTAGTTCCAGGAGATTTGATGCCCTCTTTTGATCTCCACAGGCATTGCACATCATGTGTGCACTTAACACACATGCATGCAATACATCCATACACATAAAATAAAAATAATAAATAAAATATTAAAAATAATGAAAAGTAAAAATCTTAAAAATAATTAAAAGAAATAAAGAAGTGGAGAGCAATTAAGGAAGATACTTGATATCTATCCCTGGTACACA